CTTCTTTTAAGTCATACAGTCCAATCAAAGAGTACATGAAACCGTTTAAAACAAATGAGCTGGGGGAGGTTGGGTACTCTTCATACCAGTCGTGTTTGCTCATGAAGACAGCTTTCACTCCATGCTGCTCTGACGGGAGCTTGTAAGGTGCTGTGGCCTGCAATGCTGAGTTGAGGAATGTGTGGTCTTTTGTTAACAGATAAGCCCTGACTAACGTGGAAATAGCCTGCCCTTGCGCCATTGCAGAGTACCAGCCAGGGTCTAAAGATTTAAACCCTTCTCCTAACTTCCGGGTCACCATAATTGGCCAGCCACCTTTTTCATCCTGGTTCCTCACTAGCCAATCGCTCGCAGCAAAAAAAGCTGCCATGTGGGCAGTTGTGGATATAGTGATGTTATCAATGAAACCTTTTCCCTTTGTGATCAACCTAATAACTTTCTTAGGCATTATTTTTGTCTGTTTCACAGCTTTTGTGTTGGACAGACCAACTCCTTTCCTTAAATCCGTGACCAGATCTCTTGTGACAGTGCTCCAGCTGGTCCTGGCTCCAATGCCGTAGTAAATATCTCGCTCTCTAAAAGCTATTAGCTGAGTGTTGGAGACATAGTGTATGGTGAAGAGCTGGTTCTTTTCAGTGGTTTCTAGAACCACAGATATGCTCCCATTTGTGATGAACTTGAGGTCAAAAGAAATAATAAAATCTCTTGCATTCCCAAGCTGCAGAGACGCCCCTTCAGTATTTTCTGGGGAGGAAAAAAAAGAAGCTGGTTAGGGGTAAAACATGATCTTCCAGGAGCTAACTTAATAAGACATTTAAAAAGAAGTTACATCATGCTATTAGGTTTGCCAGAAAATCTGAAATAATTCAAGGGCACTTCATCTAAAATCTCTGTTTTCACTGTGTGTCCGTCCATTTATTGTTAAATTAAGAACACGGCATCACACTTAAGGGTCAAGGATGACTTCTTGTACGACAAGGAACATTTCCCTCTTCTATGCTCATTAATGCATCACTATCCAGGAGACATGCCAAGGCGCTGGCCAAACTGATTCTTCGGGATCCTACGCTAGCTGATCAATACTTCGGCTGCAACGCAGATGCTGAAAGGCAACCTTCAGGCAGAGGGCAGCTGTGTGAGAAGAGACAGAGGGAGCAATGTGAAAAGGTAGATGGGCTGCATCACTGAGACCCTGAAATATATTTGGTAGCACTAAGCTAGCTACAGACGACAGCGATACACGCTAAGCAAGCAACGCAATTCAAAACACAAAACCCCTCTAGCCCTAATCAAGCGTGGCATTCCGGTCACGCCATTTGGGCCACTTGTTCCAGCCAGTTAGGATTCAAAGAGAGAAAGAAAGGGCAGAACGAAGTGACGTTACAGTAGGCATGCTACAGTGTAACCGATTAACGGATAAGCATCTGCTATTATCGGTTAAGGGTTTCCGTTACACTCAGCCGGCTGCCCGGGAGGAGGCTTTGCTGTGGCAGGGCAGTGAAGCCTCCTTCTCTGGAGCGGGGCCAGCAGGGGCTTGTGGCCCCTTGCAGGGCGCCTCCCTGTGGAGCTGCAGCATAAAGCATCACCATTAACCAGTAAGCACAGCTTTCTAGCGCAGAGTCGGCAGTGCGCGTAACCGCCCAGCTTTCCAGCGGTTACACGTGTTGGGATATGTACAAGTTAACAGGGGTCCAGCTGTAGCAGACATTGCCCTTTCAGCATATTTTTTTCCTTTGTCCTTGGAAGTGCCTAGGGAAATAGTTACACTGAACAGCGCCTTGTTTTGACTTCCCTTGCTCTATAAAAATATTTTCAGGGTCAAAGCTCTTTCCTCCTCCCCGTAAGCTGCTAATTCAGACCATATGTAATGCTAATTCAACTAAAAACCAGTAAACAGTAGCAGGTATAATTGTATTTATCACCTGCTTATTAACATTCATTGTATGGGAGTTAATTTTGCTAAATAAGGGCTCAGGGAAGTAGTGATAGACATGTACACTGACATACTAAAATGGATCAAGGAGTGTCACTGGTGCCAAATCATTGCCACTCGGAACGCTGTGTTGGGGGTAAACGTGCAGCAGCAATAAAGCAGTTAGTTTACTCCGTCCGTTCCTGGGTCGCCTGTTTCTTCTCTAACACAGTTACCCCATTACACGATTTTTAACATCCCTACTTTACATTGTATTTCATCTTTCAATAAAAAATCCAATTTGGTGTGTACAATTTGGGTGTCTGACACTAATTTGGGATTGCATGTTCTGGGCACTGTCGTCACATAATGCAGCTGACTTGTCCCAATAGATAATCAACTGGCCTCTTTTCAGTTCCCCAGTCAGAAAATTGTATCCTGGGTGCTGGAATAAGGGGTGACCTGGGGGGGGGAGGGGTTCACCACACAGGCTTTACAGTTGGGTTAAAGGGCTCTCAGCACCCCACTAAAATGATTTCAGCACCTCTGCTTATATAGCAAAACTAACAGGCAACACAGCTCATGGCAGATTCCATGGTCAACGGCTTAGTTTATCAAATTCCACCACAAAGCCCACCAGCTAAATGTACAAGGCTACTGAGGGCATCAGGCCTACACATAGGGTTGCCAGACGGTTGAAACAAAAATACTGAACATCTCCCCTTCCCCCGAAAAAAAACACACCAGGGAAAAAATTCTGTTGAAGGGGAAAGAAAAAAAATTAAAATAAAACAGCATGAAAACAGCATGTCCCCTTTAAGAGTGAGTTCAGGGATAGGAACAGGGAAGCAGTTGAGCACTAAGACCCAGAGCTTCCCCTAGGTCAGCAGCCATGCGGAACCAGGTAAGCATGGGGGCTGGGGGCGTTGGGAGCTGGGGGGGGGCAGTGTTTGCAGGGTTGCCGGGTGCCCGGCATTTTCGCCTTCTGGCCGGGGGAAAAAATCAGAAAATACCGGACATTTTAGGTGTCCGGTATTCTCTGAATTTTTTTACCTGACAAGAGGTGAAAATACCAGACG